ACATAACCTCAAGGATCTGGATCCCCTTCAGTAGCGTACAGCACCATCAACAACCAATCCAGCAGGACAGAGGATGACTTGTATATATTACCTGCCTGTTAAATATGCATATTAATACAAACAAGTTTTTCTTTTAAAAAAAAATCAAGATGCAACATATTTTACTTTTATTTACCCTGGTGTGTTCCAAAGAATGTTTTGTTCTCTGCTATCTTTTATTGCAAAAACATTATATGCAAGATCTATACAGCAATTAAGCCAGAATGCTGGAACCTGAAGCAGACAGAAATTAACATAATTTGAGTACAGCTATAAAAGCTTAACTCCTTTGTGCAACAAGATCATTGACATAAAACAAACATAGCCATCTGCTGACCTATTTATCAGTGCAATCCTTGGCAACAAAACCCATAGTTACAATACTTTTTTTTACATGTGAGATTGCATTGACAGAACAACAGGTGTCACTAAAACCACTCATTTGATTTGCAGATGGACGTTAACTAAAATGAATATACAACTATTTGTTGTAAAAATGGATTTTCATGCTCTTGCTACAAATAAGGTTTTAAAGAAACAGGTTTATGTAATCCTTACATATCAATTTAAATTTCAGTCAAAAAATGGATCAGATTCTATTGTATGAATATGCCTTAATATTATGAGTGCCACAATTTTAACGCTAATTTTTTCTTCCATTTTCAGTCACATGCACTTTATGTTGTTAGCTTGTCTGAGTTCATTAAAAATTATACAGGAAAAATACCAAAATACTCTGAATCAAGAATTATGATGTGTTCCTTTTAAAATCCATTGTTTTAAAATTAATTGCCTTGCTTCAACATCTCTCTAATCTTCCACATTTTCCATTGCCGCATCATTTCCCATGACTTTCAATGTTGATTTCTCTAAGTCAGTGTTTCTCAGCCTGAACAACTTTAAGACGTGTGGATTTAACTCCCAGAATTCTGGGAGTTAAAGTCCACACATCTTAAAGTTGCTGAGGTTGAGAAACACTGCTC